AAAGTGCCATCCCAGAATGTTTGGAATGTGGCCCAGTCCAAAGTTCACAGTGGGCTACCTGCAAGTAATCTAGCCGCATTCTTTCAACAAAATGGCTGTCTTCTAAAACTATATTCTACAAATTACATGTTCAGTAAGTCCTAAGATCATGACCCAGAAGCCTGTGACCAATACTAAGGCTCTTAGATGTGACACGAGTTTGAATTATAAGTTATGTGAAAGCCAAAACTGCAGTTTGTGGAAGAATGGGAGCCAAGAGCTTCTAAAGTTAGCTTGTGTTCGTCCTGATCTCAGAGTTTTGAGCTCACAGGAGCTTAATCTGGTTAGTGCTGAGTAGAAAGGGGGAGAAAATGGGGTCAATAGCTCCCGAACACATCCTAGTGGTCTCGGGGTCAATGGCCCTTCCTGATCCCTAATGCTCAGTGGGCCTCTGTGGCCGGCTCCCAACAATGAATTAGAAAAAAACATTTCATAGAAGGTAATTCTGTAGTTACTTACAAGCCTTTATATGTTCAGAAATGTTCTTTTGCCTGTTAGATGTGACATGGATTTTAGATTAATTTCTCTTATTATGAAAGTAGGAATCTTGAAGTATAAATACTTTCAAATCTTTTATTTCTTTATCATATATCATTTTCCTTTCAATGTTTTGTCTTTTGTATTGTCAGACTAATCTTCCTAAAACGTAACTAACAAATTTTCAACAGTGCTGCATTTCACATACGAGTATAATCACATTTGTACATTTCAGCTTGTGTTTCTGGGCACTGCTGATTTTATAATATGTCCCAAACAAGTGTTTTATAATATCTCCTACCCCTCTCCTTAATGTATTCTACAATCCAGCCTGACCAAAAAAGTATCTGCTATTCTCACTCCTTGTCTTTGCTCATGTTGTAACTTCTGCCTAAAATGTCTCTTCTTTTCTCTCCATATCAGAAAGGCTACTTTTTTTTTTCCTGAAGTACAAACCATTTTTTCTTCTTCCAAAAATCCTTTTGAGCTGGAAATATTCTTCCTCTTAAACTGATGGTCTTCTTTATATGTCTTCTTTTATGTAATTTGCATCTCTATTTTGTATTGTTGGATTTTTTTCTACATCTTGCAGCTTCAGTTTGACATTTCCTTTTGATTACCTGATAACACTCCCATCATAGTACTTTTTTCATAGACGTGATCTAAGAGGTAAATTTATAAAAAGTCTTAATGTCATGTCTGTATTTGTCTTAATTGTGTTACTTTCCTATTTTTCTATAGGATCCAATGATGCTGTTGCTCCAGACTTCCCAGCTCAGGTGCTAGGCAATAGGGATGATGACCTCTCAGACACTGTTAACATTAAACATAAAGAAGGGATCTACAGTAAGAGGGCGGTGACTAAGGCGTCCTTTCCAGTGGGGAAAAAACCCTCACAGAAAAATGCAGGTAACTGAATTGGCTTTGTTTATTTTATGGCTTTCTTCCACCCCTTTTCATCCTAAATGTCCAATCTTTGTTTTTTTGCTTTGGAATGCAGACTTTTATCTTTGCTATTATACTGGGACTACATAAGAAGATAAAATATTTATAAAATCTTTTACTATGCTTCAGAGATTTTTGAAGACTGTAAATTTATTGTCATCATGAGAAATAAAGCATGATGCAACTTTTGAAATAAAATAATACCCAATAAAGTATGTTTTAGAGTCTAATATTCATAGAAAATCTTGATTAAATTGCCTCATGATATTACAACCATCTCATAAATTGGATTCTGTAGGGAGTTATGTGGCTCACATAATGTTTTAAATTTTTTTTATTTGCTGCCAATTTAAAAATGACATTTTGAGCTTTTCTTGAGAAATTAGAAAATCTGGTTGCTCTCAGTTCACATTCCTTTATGACACTTAGCTGCAGCTGAGCCATGGCTGTCTCCTACAGGTAGGGCATTCATTCTCCTGTTTGTTTCAGTCCACAGCTCTCAGACCCAGTCTGCTTCATTTATCCACCTTATCTGTCTATTCACTGTGTATATTTGTGTCTCAACCTTATCTCTAGATATAGGCCCACTGTTTTTATACAAGCTTTTAATCTATAGAAATCTACTTGCTTTTTTCTTCTGCATCCATGACACTAGTTGATACTTGATAATATTTATTAAACGAAAACTCTAGTTGCCACTCAAGTTAAGTGAAAATTCTGTATGTATAATTGCCTATGTTTATTTGTTATATTTGTATTTTTTTATTCCTATGTACAACAATTAGCCAAATAGGTGCTATTGATCTCAAGGCAGTTTTTAGAAGCAGGATGACTCTATGTTCTAGTTTTGGCAAGATGTTAATGACTTTGTGCAATGACATCAATGCCTTAGTGAGGAAAATGGGTATGGTCTGCTTGCTAAAACACACATTTATTCTTGTAGATAATTTTTGTTGCACTGCAAAGCCTGTTGAAGTGTCTTTATGTCTTTTTTTTTTTTTTGAGTTGGAGTCTCACTCTCGTCCAGACTGGAGTGCAGTGGCTGCTCCCGGCCACCGCAGCCTCGACCTGCTGGGCTCTGGCGATCCTTCCGCCTCAGGCTTCCGAGTAGCCGGAATTACAGGCACGCGCTACCACGCCCGGCTGATTTTTTGATTTATTGTAGAGATGAGGTCTCGCTGCCCAGGCGGGTCTCCAACCCACGGGCTCAGGCAATCCACTCACCTCAGCCTCCCAAGGCGTGGGATTACAGGCTGAGCCACCGAGCCCGGCTTATGTCTTTTGAAATGAGAGAAAAGAGGCATATCTTTCAGCTAACATTGAGACCCAAGTAAAAAAAGAGAAATATTTTTACAAAACATAGTTCATAAATGAAGACCTTCTTGCTACAGAGAATCCCTTATTGCCAGTAGCATATTAATATGCTATTGTGCTATTAATATGCTACTGGCAATTCAGTTGATACAGGTAACCTAAGATCCTACTGTCAGATACTTCAAAAGGGGATAGATGTTGAAAAAATGGAATGGAACAAAGCTGAATGCCATTAGAAGTCTCTAATTGTACCCCACATCTTTATTTAAAAAAAAAAAAGAAATCTCTACAAGTAACTCATTAGCTATACCTCACCTCCAGGCTTTATTTAGTAAGGATGGTATGTTTGGAATAAAGTCATGCTCAGTTATCTGAAGACCTCCGCCAGCTATTGGTCTACTTCCATACTTTGCATCTCAAGGGAAAGTGCTCTGTCAGATATTACAGAGTCCTCTGTGGTCATTTCACCTTGAGAAATGCCCAGCCTCAAAACCTCTTACCTTAGATGATTAAAGAAGAAGGCTAGAGGGGAGAATGCCTGCCTAGGGAACTTGAACAGTGACTTTTATAATAGCTAAGTGAACCCATAAAATATGCTATCAGAGATAAAAATCTCAATGGAAGGGTTGGAGTATAAAAGTGAGAAAATCTCTTAGAAAATAGAACATAAGAGAAGGGAAAAGAAAAAAAAAAGATTTTTTAAAATCCAAAAGATATCCAAAAACAGGCATTGCCAATAGAGAAGGCAGACAGAAATCAAAGGGCCAGTACAGGAATAAATCCAAGAATGCAGAAGATACGAGTTTTCATGTTAGAAAGGACTATTGTGTACATAAAAATACACACTAAAGCATGTGAACTAGAAATTTTAAAACTGGTTTGAGGCTGGTCTCGGTGACTCAACCTGTAATCCCAACACTTTGGGAGGCCAGGGCGAGTGGATTGCCTGAGCCCGCGGGCTCAAGACCCGCTTGGGCAACTTGGTGAGACTTTGTCTCTACAATAAATAAAAAATTCAGCCGGATGTGGTAGCGCGTGCCTTTAGTTCTGGCTACTTGGAAGGCTGAGGTGGAAGGATTGCCGGAGCCCAGCAGGTCGAGGCTGCGGTGGCCGGGAGCTTGCCACTGCACTCCAGTCTGGGCGACAGAGTGAGACTCCAACTCCAAAAAAAAAAAAAAAAACTGGTTTGAAAAGAGATTCTAACACATTTCAGAAAGAAAACATAGATCCCATATGAAGAAATGGAAATCAGACTGACATCTAACTTTTCTAAAGTAATACATGGAATTAAAAACCAAAGGAATAATGTGTTAGACTTCTGAGGGAAAATTATTTCACTAAAAAAGGGAGGAAACATAAGACTGAGAAAACGAGGGGCCAACACAGGGAAGAGGAGAAAGGAATTCTCACAAGAGCAGTGGTACAAAAGGCCTAGAACAAGTTCAGATTGACGACTGCAAGACAGAAGTCAAACTGATTCAGTACCTTATGTGGTTGATTATACTTAGAGGAGATTTTCAATTCTTTTTGCAGCTATAAGAATAAAGGTACACATTTATACATAGAAACTTTGAAAATGTAAAATCATGGCAGTTATTAACTCTTCAGGAAAAGCAGACATTTGTAATAGAAATTAATAATTACAGTATACAGTTGGCTTAGCTGTGAATGATAATTATATAACACGGTCACATGTAAACACTGAATATTGATTTAATTACTATGACTACTATTTACATAACTAATATATAAGACTGCACACTAATATAGACTAAAACTTTTCAGAAGATAGGATGAGAAGATATTTTTTAAAAGAGAAATTCATATTGACCATAGTGGCAAATCAGTAGATAATTTCTGGAACTTAAAAGGATGTGGCAGTATAAAGCATGTTATTTGGAAATAAGGATATTGATACTAGAGTAAGTGGCTTAAGGAGTTGAAAATGGAGGCCTTTCGAAACTGAGTGGGTGGGTGGGACAGGGTACTGCTGAGTTTTGTTATAAGCCTCATGAAAGTATTTGACTTTCAAAACATACATTGTTACTTTGACTAAATCAAAATTTCTATTGTACTTCACTGCAAATAAGTATAAAGGGTTGGGAAAAGATATATTTGGCAAATACTAACTAAAGAAAAGCTAGTGAGCAATGTTAATATCGACAAAATGGGATTCCAGGACAAAAAACATTAAGGTAACTAAGTTTATCTCGCAATAATAAAAGGATCAGATGCTCCAGAAAGATAAAATTATCAGTTTATATGATATACTCAAATGTATATTCAGGAAAAATGACAGGAATATATAGATAAATTCTACAATACATTTCAGAAATTTGAAAGATCAAGAAATAAAAATAGAGAGCATTTTAACAACAGAATTTAAACATTTGATTTAAAGCAGAGAATTTTGCATTTTTCAAAGAATACATAGAGCACTTAGAAAAAATTATAAACTTGTTGGTTTCAAAGAATTCCTGTTCAAACAGACCAGCTTCTCGAACCACAGTGAAGCTAACTTAGAACTCAGTGATAAAAATATAGACTAATAAAATGAATCAAAATTCTGTCGGTGACAGGTTGAAAAGTGGTCCTCCAAAATTCATATCTACCAGGAACTTGAGAATATGACCTTATTTGGAAATAGGATCTTTGCAGATGTAGTTCCTTAAGGATCTCAAGATTAAATCATTCTGGATTTAAGATAAATCCTAAATCCAGTGATTGTATTCTTATAAAAAGAGAAGAGAACACCTTTGAGAACAGAGGCAGAAATTGGGGTTATGCTGCTGCAAGCTAGGAAGTGCCAGGGCTCAGCAGAAACTAAGAGAGAAAAAGAAGGATTTTTCCCCCTTAGAGTCTTAGGGAGTGTGGCCCATCTGACATCTTGATTTCAGACTTCTAACCTCCACATCCATGAGAGATTATGTTTCTTTTGTTTTAAGCTGCTCAGTTTGTAATAATTTGTTACAGAAGCCCTAGGAAACTAATACACCACTCATCTATTTGAAAATTCAAAAAGGTAATTCCAAGTAGTTAAATTATAATGGATTAAAGAGAAAAATCATAGTGGAAATTATAGTGTATTTCGAACTGAACAATAAAATTCTGTTATAAAAATTTTACGAAAGATAACCAAAGTTTTATTTAGGGGTAAAGTTATATACTTAAATACGAATATTAAAAAATAAGAAAAATCCAGTTAAAATCCCAAAAGAGTTTTTTTTCTCAGAAGCCTACAAGCTTGTTCTAAAATTGATAAAGAAATACAGAATGCCAAGATAGTCAAGGTAATCTTGAAAAAGAACAAATCTAGAGGATTTATACCACCAGATATCAAAACTTTACTATAAAGTGTGATATTGGCACAAAGGTAGACAAACTGACCACAGAACAGAATACTCCAGAAATAAATTTGCACTTACATGGATACCTGATTTATGTTAAAGGTGCCACTTAAAGGTGAGAAAAGGATAATTTTTTTGGTCAAATGGTGCTGGATAAGTTGAATAGTCATATTTGAAAAAAGAATATTGAGCCTCCTTCCTCACATTGTAAATAAAAATCCATTCCAAATGGATTGTAGATCTAAATAGAAAAGGCATAGATAGATGGTAGATAAGTGGGCAGATAAATTTTGTATAAGAAAATGAAGGAGTATGTCTTTTTAATCTTGGGATGGGAAAAGATTCATTAAACTTGATCTCCCCCTCCACATCCCCCAAAGAACAAGTAACCTAGAGGAAAATATTGACGAATGTGTCACATTAAAGTGAGAAATTGGCCGGGCTCAGTGTCTCAGCCTATAATCCCAGCACTTTGGGAGGCCAAGGCAAGTGGATTGTCTGACCAGCCCAGGCAACTTGGCAAGACTGCGTCTCTACAATAAATCAAAAACTTAGCCTGGCACGGTAGCACACACCTCTGGTTCCAGCTACTTGGAAGGTTGAGGTGGGTGGGCCGCGGAACCCAGCAGGTCAACGCTGGGGTGGCCGTGAGCGTGCCACTGCTCTCCAGCCTGGGCAACAGAGTGAGACCCCCAACTCAAAAAAAAAAAAAAAAAAAAAAAAAAAGGTGAGAAATTCTGGGAGTATTTCTGAACCTACTGTGGTTCAGGAGGCTGCCTGATAATTATATAAAATTTAAAAAATTTAAAATAGAAAATTGTATAAATTATAAACAACACTAAATAAGAGAGTAAAAGGCAAGTCACAGAATGGGGAAGATATTTGTGATACTTGTGTACCACTAAAGACTTATATCCAGAATATAAAAAGAACTGCTGCAAATTAATATGAAAAAGCTATTCAGCCCAATAGAAAAATAGACAAAAGACTTGTACAGGTACTTTACAAAAGAGAATACCCAATAGCCAAAAAGCATAGACAGCACATTCCACTTTATTAAACTGTAGGGAATGCAAATTAAAACCACACAGAATAGCTTCACATACCCATTTGAATGACTGAAATGAAAAAGACAATACTGTGTTGGTAAGAAGGTAAAAACAAACAACTCATTCACTGCTGGTGAGAGTGTGAATTGGTATAATGTCTTCGGAAAGCAACTTGACAGTATCTATTAAATTACACAAAACCATAACCTATGACTAGCAATTCTCCTAACTATACTCAACAGAAAGGGGTGCCCACAAGTACCAAGAGTCACAAATATTCTTCACAGTAGTATTTGTAATAGCTCCAAACTGCAAACTACCCATATGTCCAGTAGTTATTCAATAGAATGGATAAATTGCAGCATATTAACATTATTGAGTACTAATTAGAAAATGAGAATGTGTGAAGGATAATATATGTTACAACACTAAATGAATCTTGTAGACTACACGGGAGAAGAAAGCAAGACATAAAGAATATATATTATTCCATTTATATAAAGTTCAAAAGTATTCAAAACTAATTTGTTGTATTTAAAATCATATGTTACCCTCAGCATGGGGAAGATAGAAGGAAGAATGAAGGGAGTATGTAGGCATTTATCCAGATTTTATTTCCTAACCAGGGTAAGGCTATACACATTTGATTTTGGATAATTCACTGAGCTCTATATTTGTGCATTTTTTTTGCACATTTACTGCTACACAATGAAAAAGATCTTTTAAAAAGAATAAAAAATAAGGTACTTGGCAATGAATCTATAAGGACATGTAAAACTATTATAGAGAAAATTATAAAACTATATTGAAGTATATTACAGAAGACCTAAGTAATTGGAGAATTATATACTTGTAAAAATGAATTAAAGATACCAGTTCCCATTAAATTAATTTTTAAGTTTAATGCATTGCTACTCAAAATTCCAGTAGAACTTTTTATAGAATTTAACAGACTGATTCTAAAATATGTATGGAAGATCAACAAAGTATATTTAAAGATTAAGATAAGAGAACTTGCCGTACTAGATGTCAAGACTTATTACATGCATAACTTATTTAAGACATCATTTGCAAAGGAACAAACAGAAAAATGAAACAGAATGGTAGCCCAGAAACACTATCCATGAATGTGGAAGCATAGTATATTCAGAGATGATACAGCAATCCATGGAGAAAGGATGAAGATGAACTATTTAATAGTGTTTAGACCACCAATTACATGTAGGAAAGAATAAAATCAGATAAACCACTACTACATACTAAATAAAAATATATAGTATTCCAGGCACATTAAGTATAAAAAGGAAAGCTTTAAACTTTTAAAATTTAGGTTGTCTATCCTTATGATCATGTGATAATTAAGGATTTTAAAAATATGACACAAAGCACTGACCTTAAGGAAAAGTATAATAAATGTGACCTTATTAAAATGAAAAATTTTGTACATGAAAGATACCATAAACAAAAGACAAGACACAGACTGAGAGAAGAAGATATTTACAACTCATACAATCTTCAAAGAAATTTTATAGGAATATTCATTGCAGTGCTTGTCAATATTAAAAAAGTAGGAAATAGTCTTCATTGCTTAAATGGTAAATTGATATGTATATACAAGTAGAATACTACCTAACAGAAGACTCATATATATTAATGGGACTAAATCCTAGAATTATATTGAGTGAAAAGGCATTTTGCTTAAAAGTACATACAGTATAGTACCCTTTATATGAAGTTTAGAGACCTGCAAAACAATACTATACATTGTTGTATATATGCAGTATAGTAAAGAATTTTAAAATGTCCTTGAGTTTTGTAATCTCTAAATCAGTATAAGGGTTGCTATAGAGAGAATGACATCATTGAGATCTTACATAGGGAATCATATCTGTAATATTTATTTCTTAAGGTACTTTGGTGCTTATTTTGTTGTATATACTTTTTTATATGTCTGAAACATTGTATTAACAGTAAGTAAATTTTTAAGTGGTCTAAAAGTTGTAGAAGGCGTTTAGGTAAAAGAGATTAGGAGGATTGAAATAATAGAAATAGGAAAAATGAATGCATGTAAAGAAAAATTGGTACTATGAGAAATAAAACCAAGACTGATTCTTTATTGCATTTTTAGTAATCTCTATTGCCTTTCTGATTTCTTTGTTGAAAAATATTCATACTTGTAGATATGAAAAGAAAAATCATCAAGAAAAATAGAAAAGAGAAATAGAAAGTATTAGACAAGTTTTAAAAGCTCTATACCTGCATGAGCTTTTTTAAAAAATTCTATAAGAATGCTATATATAAAATATAGATGATGTAAGTGCCTTTCTTGTATTATATGAAACACCAAAATTGGCTCCATAAGTGATTAAAAACATTGAATAGGCCAAAGAACATAAAAGCATTGTTCAAATCTACTTTTTTGCTTTGAAAGACATACTTGATCTATACATTTTTTTTTTACTATTGCATCAAACCATCAAAGTTCAGATTTTATTTAATTTTTTAAAATTTAAGCAGTTGTGTTGTTGTACACAGAAAGATATGAAAAGCTTTTCAACCATGTCACAGTTTTTACCTAGTGGAGGCTAGGAAGTACTTTTTTCCTAATATGTAAAGGGGTTTGGCGTGTGTGTGTGTGTGTGTGTGTGTGTGTGTGTGTGTGTGTGTGTGTGTGTATAGAATTACTTGTCTATTGTGTTTATTATCTTTTCTTTCTCTGTGGGATCAAATGATGTTGTTATTCCAGGTGCCCCAGCTCAAGTACCCATCACCGGGGATAAGCACTTTTCAGATAAAAAACAGAAAGAAGAGATCTACAGTACAAGGGCAGTGACTGAGACTTCCCAGCCTGAAGAAAAAGAATTCTTGCAGAAAAGCCCTGCAGGTAGGTAAACTGGATTGTCTGTATATTATTTTCTTCTGGTATTGTAAAGTGAGACTATTCCCTTATGAATATAAACAAATGTATTCTCCATTCTCTTCTTGCTATCTTCAGCCCTCCTCTGTCTTGTTTATATGTGAAATAGTCAAAGTATTTTTAGCTATTTTTTGTATACTTTGGCAGATAAAGTTGATATATTCAAAGCTTTTTGAAATATTTTGGAGAACTTTTAAATATAGTAAACACATTAATCTCATCACCAAAATTTATTTAATGGATTTTTTTTTTTTTTTTACTTCTGATGATAGAATATTTTAATGCCATGACAGACTGACTCTCCAATATCATTGTTGTATGTAAGCCTTTGTTCTTTAGGAATTTAGCTTGTTTGCTTCCTATCTGTCAGTCATTTTACTTCAGTGGGATTATACTGATTTAAAGTGCCTGTAATAGTGTTAAAGTTAGGATTAATTTTGGCTCTGAGAGATGAAAACAAAAAATAACATTAAAAGATTTAAAAATATATATATATATTTTTTCTAGTAAAAACCCTGAGGTAGGCATCCTGGGTGACATGGAGTTTCATAGTATCAGGGAACAAAGCTCTTGCTCCCCTGTTACTCCAACATTTTTTGCCTTCATTCTCAAAGTGTAGCCATCTGCCAGTAGAAAGAAAAGGAAAGAAAAAGCATATTCCTTTCTCTAAGGAAACCCTTTCAGAAGTTACATGTAGTATTCCCCTTACATCTTATTGGCCAGACTTAGACATATGGTCACGTGTAACAGGGAGGCTGGGAAATAGTCTTTATTCTAGTACCCATATGCTCAGCCAAAGTTAGGATTCTATTTTAAAGAAAAAGGAAGATGAATATTAGAGTACAGATGATAAGTTTTTGCCACAGTTGTAAACTAGAAACATATTTAGAGCATAGTTTTTTTCTTCTTTAGGTATTGCTTTTTAAAACAATTTAGATTGTACTCTGGGCAACACTTTAAAATTTTACCTCCTTTGTGTTTTTGCTGAATGAATGTTCTGGAAACACTTTTGATCATGTTAATCAAAAAAGTTAATCAAAAATTTTAGTCTTCATTCCCTCTAGGAATAAAATCTAAACTTTTAGCATTGTCTTCCAGAACAGTAGAATCTGCTCCCAAAACAACTTTTGAATGCTAGTTCTCACCTCTTTGCCTTATAAATTCCGTAATCAAGTAAGCCTTATACGTGCTGTGTTTCTTAGATGCTAAGTTGCTTTCCTAACTCCATTCTTTTACTGTGTAGTCACCTTTGCCTAAAATGCCTTTATCTTTCCATGTCAATATGTATCCCATCTTAGCTATCTTCTGACACCCAAATCAGTTGTCCAGAGTTCTGTGATACTGCTTTCTGGAATTAGTTGATCTTTCTTTGAACACTTGTACTTCTTTATCTGACTCTCTTATGGTGTAATTCCTTAACTTTGTATGACTTCTATTTCTCTTTTTATGTACATGATTTTTGACCCTAATGTTGATTGCTTTCTAAACATGTTTTAGCGGTCTTTTTATTTTTCTTCAATACCAGTAAAAAAGCCTTTCACATAGTAGATTCTTGGGAGACTTTTTTTTTTTTAAAATATAGCAATAGAATTTTGCTATGTTTTCCAAGGTTATCTTAAACTCAAGCAATCTTCTGTGAGCAATCTTCCCACATCAGTGAGAGACATTTGAAAGTATTTTTCATCAGCTTTCCGTCTGTATAATGAATTAATTTCCCTCTCTTAGATTCTGTTGATGCTACTGCTGCAGAGCACTCATCTCAAGTACAAGACACAAAGATCGAAAGTCTATCAGACACTCAAGAGGTTCAACAGAAAGAGGAGATCCATAGGAAGGGGACAGTTCCTAAGGAAGCCTGGCCAGAAGATAAAGAATCCCTACAGATAAATATTGAAGGTAATGGGATTGGGGTGTGTGTGTATCTGTGAGTGTATTTGCAGGTGTTTTCATTCCATTGTTATGATTTTCCTTTCTTTTCTTTTTTTTTTTTTTTTTTTTGAGTTTGAGTCTCACTCTATTGCCCAGGCTGGAGTGCTCTGGCACACTCACAGTGACTCCAGCATCAACCTGCTGGGCTCCTACAATCCTTCTGACTTAGCCTTCCAAGTAGCCAGAACTATAGGCTCGCACTTCCATGCCCACACCTGGCTATCCATTCCATTCTCATGAGAATATGACCTCATGATTTAAACAAACATTGCTTTTCTTTTTTTTTAATTTTCTTATGCAAGGCTCCTTGATGCTACTTTATCTACATGGCTATATAGATATATTTGCAAAATAGTTATTTCTGAGAAAAGTTGTTAACAGCTTAGAAACAGGATTATTAATAAATAACCAAAGCTGATATTATTAGAAGTGAAGCATCATATCTCAGCACTGAAACAGGGAAAACCAAAAAGCATTTTTTGAGACCAGGACAAAGACCAATACAGATTTGTAAAAAAAATTGTTGTAAAAAAGCATTTGCCATGGCCCTCTTTTTCTGACATGAAAGAAATGCATATAGAACACAAGCTATTACCACCTAGCTGTCAAGCTTTATCTCTTAGAGATAGAACAGTGCCTGGATTAGGGAAGAAAGGAGTCAAAGAGCTAATCTACACTTGCTAGATTTTGAAAATAGATCAGGTTTCACAACTTACATAATAAATGTATAAAATAAATGATTTTTGACAGAGGTATCAAGACTACACAATAGAGAAAGGATAGTGTCTTCAACAAATGGGAATGGCAATAGAATATTATGCAGCCATAAATAAGAATAAAATCATGGCCTTTGCAGCAACTTGGATGCAGTTGAGGCCATCATACTAAGTAAACTATCACAGAAACAAAGAACTGAATATCACATGTTCTCACTCATAAGTGGGCCCCAAACACTAGTCACATTAGCACAAGGGTGGGATTGGCAGTTGCTGGGCACTGCTAGGGAGGGGAGGGAGGAGTGTGGGAGGCATGTGACAACACAATGACTACCGGGTCCACTACTAGGGGAATTGAGGGCCAGCTAGAAGCCCAAACTTCACCTGCATGCAACCTACTTATATAGTAAGTCCTCACTTGTATCTCACAACTTTATAATAATTAAATTTTAAAAATAAATAAATGTAAACACCAAAAAAGATGTTGGAAAAGTTGAATATCTACATTCAAAAGAAGTTGTTGGACCCTTGTTTACACCGTATACAAAATTAACTAAAAAAAGAATTAGAGATATAAATGTAAGATCTAATATCATAAAACTCCTAGAAGAAAATATAGGGAAAAACTTTGAGGACATTGGACTTGGTAATGATTTCTTGGATATGACACCAAAAGCACAGGTAACAAAAGCAAAAATAGACCAACGAGGCTACATCAAACTTGAAAACTTATGTATACCAAAGGAAACAATTTAGAGTGTGAATATGTTCTGATGAAGATTTATTTGGATCTTAACATGATTTTAGGGAAAGGTAAAAATAACAAGCCCCTTTTCCAGCGATGATGTTCATCTCTTCCTTCCAGTAGCCAGGATATTATTAACTTTGAACTGTGTCTCTTGTTTGGGCCAAATATATAAACACTTTGATTCCAGAGCTATTCTAACTGGAAGCATCATTTTTTGAAAAGTGACTTAAATGAAGAACAAAGTAAAATTGAATTCCTTTAGGGGTTAATCCTTGTGGGTTTTTTCAGGTTGACTAAATGTACAGCCTGAGGCAGTACAGCCTGAGGCAGTTGGGATTGGAGGGAAGGCTGATGTGGTGAATGCGAGCTATAAATTCAAGGTACCTATTCCATATAAAAACACAACATATATGTGACTAGTGATACATGTAGGATGGGATACAAAGTTTATTAAGTGCAAATATGACCAGGCTCGGTGGCCCACACCTGTTATCCTAGCACTTTGGGAGGCCCAGCTGGGAGGATTGCTTGAGCCCAGGAGTTCAAGACCAGCGTGGACAACATAGTGAGACCTTCTCTACAAAAAAAAAAAAAAAAAATTAGCCGGGCATGGTGGCACCCGCCAAATGTGTGCGCCAGTAGTCCCAGCTACTTGGGATGCTGGGGTAGAAGGATCACCTGAGCCCAGCAGATTGAGGGGCGATAAGCCATGATGGTACCACTGCAATCCAGACTGGTTGACAGAGCGATTCCAACTCAATAAATAAAATAAAGTTTATTAAATACACACACAAAAAGAGTGTGAATAGGCAACCTATAGAATGGGAGAACATATTTGCAAATTGTATATCTGACGAGTTAATATCCAGAACATAAAAGGAACTTCTATACTTCGATAACAGTAAATAACCTTATTTAAAATTGGGCAAACTACTTGAATAGTGATTTCTTCATAGAAGATATACAAATTACTATTAAGCATATGAAAATATGCTCAACTTCTCTAATCATAAAAGAAATGCACATGAAAACCACAATAAGATATCATCTCACTCCTACTAGAATGGCCACTATCAAAAGAACAGAAAATAAGTGTTGGTGAGGATGCAGGGAAATTGGAACCCTTGTTCACTGTTGGTAGGAATGTAAAATGGTACAGCCATTATGGAAAATACTATGAAGGTTCCTAAAAAAATTAGAAAAGAATTACTTTATGGTTCAACATTCCTGCTTCTGGGCACATAACCTAAAGAATTCAAAGGAGAATCTCAAAAACCTATCTTCACACCCATGTTTATCATAGCATTATTCAAAATAGCCAAGAGGTATGCAGTCCAGATGTCCATCAACAGATAAGTGTATTAAGAAAATGTTAATATCGGTAAATTAAAAATAAAAAGTGTTTTATGTACATAAATGAGATATTGTGCAGCCTTTAAAAAGAAAGAAATCCTGTCACATGCTGCGAGATGGATGAACCTCGAGGATATTATGCTAAGCAAAGTAAGCCAATCACAGAAGGACAAATACTCTCTGATTCTACTCATATGAAGTATCTACGTAGTTGAAATCATAGAAGCAGTTAGTAGAAAAGTGCTGAGGCCTAGGGGGAGGATAGAAAGAGAATTAGTGTTAAGTGGGTATAGAGTTTCAGTGTTATAAGATGAAAAAGTTAGAGATCTATTGCTCAAAAATATGAATATACTTAACACTACTAGCTGTTTGATGGCAAATTTAATTTTTTTTTAACCACACACACATATAAATAATACATTAGATGAAGAAATAGAACATTACAACTTTGCAGTGGGTAGTGTGGGAGACATGGTTTGCAAAAGAAAGATGGAAATATAATCTGTAAAAGCATTCTCTACCAGACAGAAGAACATTTTTTTCTAAATGTTTGTACTCTGAATAATTGTAGAAAACATGAAATATATAAAATAAAAATTGATAGAATAATGAGATAAAAAAGGAGGTTTAGGGGATAGAACAAATGGAAGTGAAAAGGTTGTACTAATTAAGAGAAGACGATGAAAGCAATTAGAAAAAATAATATAATTTGAGGACTGATAGTAAAAATCCAACACAGCGGTGTCTATTATTTTACCTAAGGAAGATAACAGAAAAATAATAAGTAAGGAAAAATTGGACCTCAATTTATTTAATTTATTTTTTAAGACAAGATTTCACTCTGTTGCCCAGACTGGAGTACGGTGGTGCAATCGTAGCTCACTGTAGCCTAAACTTCTGGGCTCAAGCACTTCTCCCATCTCAGCCTTCCATGTAGCTGAGACTATAGGATTGCACCACCACACCTGGCTTAAACCTGTATTTTAAAATGGCATACTAAATCCTAGGAAATTGTATATATGATGATCAATACTGAGAGAATATTAGTGATAATAGTGAACTTCAAAGAAAAGGTGAATCATTCAGGCGTTTTATGCAGACAAAATGAAAAGATAATACAGAAAGTCAGAAAGGGAACAGGCAGAGGAAAGGGAGGCTAAAGGAAGTATAAATGAATTAATAACATCTTGAAAGTTGTAAAATCAAGACATACATGTATAAGCATAGTATTTAAAATGACAAGCGTTTCCTCTAAAAGTTAAACTTTAAATTATTCAAAATATTTAGAAAAACCAGAAGCAGCTTGGGTGTAAAGTGGGAGAATAAAAGAAGACAAAATAAATGTCTAACAAAAATTGCCATAAAATGAAAGAATGGAGAGCTTATAAATACCATGTATTATATTAAATTTACCTTTATGAAGAAACTTTTTAGATTGTATTTAAAAAGAAACCCTGTTTCATGCCAGATAGCAGACATATCAAAAGAAAAATAGCTCAGAAAGGTTGAAAATAAAAAGAACACCTAGAGACATATCAAAAAAGAAATTTGGGAACTTTAATAGATGAGGTTAAATTCACAGCTTTTGCAGGAATTAAAGAGGGATTTTTTTAATACTGATTTGTAATCCACAATGAGGCTATTGTTCATACATCTTTAAACATCAAATAACTTAGTATAAAAATTTATGAAATGAAAACCAAGAGCTCCATTAATAAGGAAGTTTTATGTTGTCTGTAAAAAGAGTGAAAAACTGGGTGCAGTGACTCACGTGTGAGCCTATAATCCAAGTAATTTGGGAGGCTGAGGTAAGAGGATTGCCTGAACCCAAGGGTTCGAGACCAGCCTGGGCAACTTGGGGAGACTTCATTTCTACAATAAATCAAAAAATTAGCCAGGCATGGTGTCACGTGCCTATAGTTCTACCTACATGGAAGGCTGAGGTGGAAGGATCATCTGAACCCAGCAGGCTGAGGCTGCTGTGGCTGTTAGCATGCCACTCTACTCCAGCCTGGGTAACAGAGTGAGACACCAACTTAAAAAAAAAGAGTGAACATGTGAAATTATATGAAAACAACTCTTATGATATATCATTGGGCAAAAGATGCTTAAGGGAGGGACTGGAAGGTGGAATTTACTTTTTGGGTGTG